TTCCGCCTTACCTATATAAAAACGTATGCAATGAATTAAAAACGCAATCACAAGGTGCAAAACGTTCATTAGGTGTTCGAAAATTTAATTATACGATTAAGTATATCTGTAAGCATTACAAAATATATACAGTTTATTCATCATATTAATTCCCTTATCAGGTAATAATTGTTAAATCGATGTTTAATTGATATATATATGATCGAGAAAATCTCGCACGACTGAGGAGAGCTATGTTCAATTGTGAGTTATCAATCTAACGTCGCGACGTCGACAAACCGGTATCGATCTATTGCCCCCGATAAAATCATGCGCGTTAAACGGGGTACGTCCCGTTGCACCATAACTTGTCGGCATTGTTTCAAGGCGGGCGCGTACGTACAGCCGACTATCAATCGGCCTTTTCGCGCTGTGCACCCATCTCGTAAATTCTCACCCTTTGACACGCGCCCGATACGAGTCCCGAGAACCGGCAAGAACCGGGGAGAGGGGCAGGAGGGGGAGAAAGAGAGTACTAGCTATGGCGTCGGCGCGACAGTGGCAACCCTCGGCTGGCGTAGAAGCTTTAACCCCTCGGGACCTGCGGGACGTTAATGAAATAACACGGGAATTAGTCTCGGACATTACCGACAAACTATGTCCATTACCGTGCCCTGCGCGCGAAAATATAGCGTTCCACGAAAGCTGAACTTTGGGGGTTGCTGCAGGACGAGAACAAAATTTTAAGATTATATTTAAATCTGTAAGCTTTCATCTAAATCAGGGGGATAATTTCTTTTGCATTGCGTATGCGTTAAATTATATTTGCATGTGTAATATTTTTTATTCAAAATTATAATACTATTTGTTATTATACATTTTGATTAAAGTATTATGTGCTTTCTACTTATATCGCTAAATTTAAAAGTTATTACATACGGAAAAAATGAATGCACTTGTATTAATTATATCATGTTGTGTAATTGTTATGAGTGTTTTATTCTGTTAAATTATAAATAAGAAATGTGTGTGCACCTGTGTATTTAAACAAGATATTATATATAGTTTTATATATAGATAGAAAAAAAATAATCCATTTATTATAATCCTTAATTTTCTTTCATATAACATATGTAATTTTCTTTTCTTGACGATAAGACGTTTTCTGACATAAATAATAGATAATAAATATGGAAATATAACTGCAGATTTAAACAAATTAAAAAATCATCAATATAAACTTTTTCTAAACTGTTCATAATTATGTATTAAATATATTTACTGCTTATATAAAAGCAATACTGTGGTATCTTATTATTGAGAACCGAAGGGAAAATAGAAGGGTTTACGTGGGTTTAATCAACCCAGACCCTAAATTATCGATGAGTCTCGGCAATGGAGTTCGTTGACACAGCAAAATACTGAATTCAATAACGAACATAATGCTTTAAGCAATTAAGCGACATTAATATATATATAAAATTCTATCCACTGTTTGTGTCGCTTATTTTTATAATACTACGTGCAAATGCGTGCACATTCTGTGGACATCAACGTATCGTTGCTAAGCTTTCAAACGAGTCCGTGTAAGTCGTTCAAATCGGTACGGATTTCCAGCCCAACACCTCGATTGTCTTCGCTAAAGAGTGCTTCGCGGGTATATATGAATTCACGCCTCGAACACACGTACATCGTCATCCCCCTTTCCCTTCATCGCCTCTTACCACAACATGTTCCTCCGCACTTCTTTTCCCCAATCTTTTATCTTTCTTGCTCACCTCGTCGCCTCGTACAGTTGTCTTTTTCTTCCCCGTCCTTTCCTTGCTAATCCTTATTTTGCTCTTGTACCACCCTTTCCGTTCATCCCTTCATTACTCATATCTCCTACTACCCTTTCTACTCTGTCCTTCTCTCTTTCTCTTTTTCTCTCTTATATGTTAATCCTTCCATTATATTTTGCGCTTTTACATTTATTCAGTACCTAATTTTTTTTATAAATCTTTTCTTTCCATTAATGACATTTTTATTTATTTTTTTATGCTAATTTCTCGATTAAATAGTTCAGTGAACCAAAAGGGAAGAACATATTCTTGTCGCGTTTAAAAAATTAGGAGAAGTAACTAAAAAAGTAACTTATTTTTCAATTATTGTAAAAAATTTTCAAATTTCTAATAAATCATAAAGCAAGAGAGATACCCCACGCGCTGTGCAACAAACATAAAATTACGAATAGCGACTCTTTCGAGATCAAAATCGCATGTCATGTTATCGAGAAGATACGCTCGAGTAACGTGCTGAATGGACCGACGTGTTCCGCAGCCGTCCGCGTGCACGCCTTCTTCGACCCGTAAAAGAGACCCGTAGAGAAGACGCCTTTCAAGGAGTAACCGCAAATCCTAGTATAATACTAATAGGACCATAATAGGGTCAATAGAGCTTAGCCGCGCGACGACAATAAGATCTTGTCAAAATACGCCGGGTAACACGAGCCTAGGAAGCGGATTTTTCTCAATGGGGGTCTGCCTGGTCCCCCTCTCTCGTGTCAACCGGTACAAGGCGATGCGCATTATGGGGTTTTCAAAAAAATCTGAAACCTTCCACCCGGGTGCGCGATTGAGGTTTAAGTTTCACCGCGTTCGGCAACCGCCGATCCCGTGAAAGGAGAACGAATAGGAAAAACCGAAGAATGCCGTATCAGCCTAACACGCTATTCGAATTTCAAGTGAACAATTCCGCACACGATATATGTGTGCAATTTATGTTGAATGCGAGCTCGATTTCCGGTGACGTTTTCAGATATCCACGTTATCACGTATCATAATCTTTCAATTAATTGACGGTATTGTGAAAAAAAAACAATAACGTTTAATGAAATAATTGTGTCTCTATCCAATTAGTATGATTTTTTTAGTATATCCTTTATAGGATAAAACATCTTTTGGAAAGATTCTACCTTAGCCATCGCTTTGATTTTCACCTATATTATAGGAGAAAATTTACTTTGTTCTATATATACATGTAATCCTTGTTTCGAAGATGAAGTGTAGCAAACTCATGTGAAATTATATAATTGTAACGCTAATGTTATTAACATTTTTGAACATAATTCTAGATCAAAATTATTAAAGCTGATTAAACTATTTATTAAATTAAACTTATATATCACACTTAAAATATATTATTTTTATGCCAAAAATGTCGAAAATTTTGAACTGATATATCTGAGAAGCTAGAAGAGTTTTCAATGTGATTTAAAATGGTGATTCAGAACTCTATACATTATAATATACGTGAAAATTAATTCGAAAAGATGTTCGGTTTACCTCCTTGATCTCGACTGAAAATAAATTAAATTCAGAATTAATTCTCGTATATTGTTGCGATTATTCTGTCGAGTTAATTATATTATTGCGACAAATGCAGAGTTTCAACTAATTAATTATGTGTTTTGTACTCATCATATATAAGACTTTAAGTTATGTTTTTATAAGGGTGAGAGGTTCAGTGATTTAATAAACGCAGAGTAAATTGCAGAATATTTTCGCGCATGTATACAAAAATTTTACATTATACTTTCAAACGTTTCCATTTATAAACCGATTTCTTTCAAGGTAATATATCTTGCTTTACGCCAAACAAATAAGTTAAGCTTGTTAAATTTCTCGTCAATGTATACCATACCTTTCCACGTTAATTTATCAAACAAACGCGCAAACCCCAGGTCAAGCTCGGCGTCCCCATTTTAAGACGCCGGCTCGTTAAAGTCATTTGAGGGAGCAGTTCCACTACCATCATCACCAACCTTCCCTCAGTGAAACAGAATCTATCTCGTAGCCGCCAACAAGCCCCAACTTTCTTAGAAGCCAGGCAAATCTTTTTCAACCCCTGTTTTTCGCCACCCCAGGGTCTACACCGCGGACGACTTTATTAGAAAATGGCTGCACCGTGAAGCGTCTTAATATACAGTGTTTATTTTCCTCTTAACAATGTCTTTGTGCCGTCGAATCTTATGCGCTTTTTCACTGTACAAGCAATTTAATAATTAATACATAATATGATTAAAGATGAATTAAAATTTATAGCTATAATTATTAATTTTATTTATTAATTTATCTATTAATTTATATAATTCATCTATAACCTATCTACTATTTTTATGTATTTATCTGCTTTATTTATCTATTAATTTATTTATTAATTTGGTAAAAATTATTCGAAATTCTTTAGAAAATTAATGGAAATTTTGAACTTCGAATTGGTTGGCTTGAAATCAATATTGTCAGGGGAATAGAAAAGAGGATTCTTTTGATAATCATTCTAATGAGATCTATGTCATGGTTTTCTTTTCTCCAGCATAGAGAGAATTTTTTTATGAGGTTTTAATTAATTAAATTACGGTTAATTCTCATGTTGAATAATTAAAAGTAGCGCATTTGAGTGAAACGTAATATATGTTTCTGCAGAAAGAATAAAGAACACTGAAATTTGAAATATTTTAGGTAGCTATAAAATAATCATCGAATTAACTTTTTTCTTTCTTTCTGCTCTTTAATCACAGTTTGCATTAACGTGTGTTTATTTATTTAAAAGCGTGTTGAAAACAGTTAAACTATAAATTAATTTCTTATTTCATTCTTTTAAATAAATGTTATATATCAGTTAATAGCAGAGAGGTTTAAACTTTCGACAAAATTAATATTCCAGAATAATTCTCTGAATATAACTAACATAATTCCAATTATTTTCAACTATGAATCTGCCAAAACGTTATAAAAACTAATTGTGATTAATATTATTATTATTTTTCTCACCATTTATGACTTGTTGTGATAATTGATATTTATGTATGTGTGTGTACACAATAAGAAAAAGTTATTTAAACAGTTTATTATTTTATTAATTTTATATATAAATATATATAAAATTTCGGATTTTATTGGTTAAAAAATAAATGTCTTACAATTCTCTCTTTTTCTTATTGTTGATAAGTGGTATATAAAGACATGTTTTTTCTGTTTTAGGATTTTCGCAATCAAAAGGATCATTTCCAAATACGAGTCCCGGTATGTTTTTAATTTTAATATCTTTAAGATTGTTCTTAATACATATTTTCAATTATAAGATAATACTGCAATGTAATAATGCATGATGTTAATTAGATGTGTGACCCAAATAATTCATTTAAAAAATACATATATTTTGAAACATAAATATAGAAATTATATAATTAATTTTGATTTCTCGTAAATTTACAATAATGCACGAGTCACATTTATTGAAAAAAATTCAATAAAGTATAACAAGCTGCAACGAGATAAAATAGATTAATTCTTTATAATCGATAGTCTCAAGAGAAAATATAGGTATAAATATATTATAATTCTTCAGAAAATCATAACTCCAAGTTTCACAAGATAACGACAAAAAGATAAAACGACATAACATTTTTAATAATATTCACACGAAACTTTTACGCGTGTCGTGAAACGCACGGAAATTTACCAGACTTCTTTCTCAAGGTAGCAAAAGCGACTGGCAAAATCGTAAACTCATTCATGTCGTCGCGTTGAATTTATGACGCTTTTCGGATGCGAGAACTGTGAAAAATTGATTGTACCTATATATGATATGTACGGTGTATACTTGTTCTTCCCTGTGTAATAAAAATAATATTTTCGAGTCGCACACTTCCTTTACCAGCGTGAAATTATGCAAATAGCAAATTTGCATTAGTCAATTATACATTAATAATAAACGATTATATTACGTATTAACTTATCGGTCATCAATTTTTTTGCGAGGCATTATTTTAATGATTAAAAAAGATATCAATTTCATTAATGAATATGAATACAAATAAGGGGAGTAAGATGGGAAAAAACATAATCATAACGAATGAATACCGAGTCATCGTCATTCTAATAATAATTCTTCGATAATGAATTCTACAGATGCCATAACCATTGTCGCCATATGATGACATCATGTGCACACTGAAAGAGAAAAAAAAACTGCTTACGTATTCATGCGCGCGATGATTTCGATTTTTCCGAACCATTAAGCGCGGCCCGTTTGGCCCGCAAAGCGATGTCGCTCGAAACAAGATACGACAACTTGAAAATGATTACCGAGGATGAGTTTCGTATCTAATGGGGATGTGTTTCTGCATTACTTGCTACGGATATTCATTGTCAGATCATATAATCGGTCAATTAATTATTATTAACAATTTTTCGGCGTAACACTATGCACGGTTAATCTTCAATTCTATTGATATTTTTATTAACATTGTACAAGAATTATATTTGTGTGCGTTAATTTCGAATGTCTATTATATCAATAATTATTTAGTAGAAACAATGTATTTGCCAAAACATATGCATATATTTCTATATTTAATAATTTTTTAAGATTTTAGTATGATTTTATTATCATGTAAAAAAAGAACATGATTAATTTTGTATTATTAATTGCATTTCAAACATTTGACGTTCTTTAAATTCATTAATTATTGATTTATTAATTTATCAGCGTTGTTTAGAGATAAACAACGAAGTTTTTACTCTCTTGATTAAAATGACTTTATTAAATGATTATTTGAAGTAAGTTTATGTCAAAATTTGCACGTCTCAATATCATTATTTTCAATTTAGGAGAAATAAATAGCCAACCTCATTTAACTTATATGAGAAATATAAACCACAACAAGAAGTATATAAAGATATCCCAAAGCGTACAGCACCCTCGAAGGCGATTTAAGATTTGACAGCAGGCGTGGAGACGTACTCGAATTTCGAGCCAAAAAAGTCTCCTGTTACAGATTAGCGTTTCAATGTGGGTGTACCCACAGCACCGTCAATTTTTCAAAATATTTTGACGTATAATACAATATATCTAAACGATACCATATTGATTAAAGTGGAGGTACATTAGATATTGAAAAGAAAGAGAAAGAACGTAAATAAATTACATTAATTTTAAATAAAAATTTTAAATTGTATTCAAAATTAATTAGTAAGAGAAATTAAAGTTACCCTCGCATTTTGCATTTTTATAAATCTTCTATATTATCCTATTTAGTGTACTTAAATATTATTCTTGAATTTTAAGGATCATCTTTAGGTATTGCTCAAAAATAATTTAAGCGAAAATTATTTAAATCTGAAAAAATAGATTGCAATGTATCTTTTATCTGTGCTTCTCCTATAATTATTCATTTAATATTTTGAGATGCAATAGTTACCAAAGTTGTGTTTGTGATGTACACGTGAACGCAATCAAGATGCTGCGCTGAATCGGTGCCGGGAAAATTTCTCCTCGCGAAAAAACTGACGGCGGTGCCGGATGGTTGGAGATTCCACACCGTGTTTTCGCGCATCCTCAATTTTCCAGCAGCCTTTTCCAAGTAGCACCCTCGCTATCGCCGGGGGGAGAGAAGGTGGAGGAGAGGACGGGCGGCAACGCGCGCGAGTCTCCTTTTACTCGCAGGATCCTCCGTAGTATTTTCCTTTGCCGGCAAATTGGACTATTACGAGCTCTGCGAGCTCGTACCTCAGAGGCGCATTTTCGCGAGAGAACCGCGTATTTTCTCGCCCATCCACTATTTGGGAAATCCTTCACACTACGTTTCGCTTCCGCGCTCACTTCTTCTCTCTCTTCTCCTTCTCTGTCCGTCTCTCGCGTCTCAAAGTGCTGCGCACAGTTGTTAAAACAACCAATTCCGACAAAAACCCCCTTGTTACCGGGTGTCTGCCGTTTCGCCGCGGGGGCAGCTTCCATAATTCTGACGGAAGACACTACGGGCCTGTAAAAGAAGTCGCCGCGCGCTCATAAAGACGCGTGAGGATTGCCTCCCCCGATAAATATTAGACCTCGTAATCACTTTCGCTGAATGTTTCCGTAAATCATTTCCTGCTATAAATTTAATGTCATTGGTATATTCATTGCATGAATTTTCACATATTATCTTGCTATAAATAACATTTATGTTATTAATAGCAAATAATATTTATGTTATTTATAGCAAATTAATACGTGAAACTGTTTTAATATAAATTTCATGTCTGCAAAGCTTTGATAATATTTAATAATTTAATTGGTATTTCAAAATGACTTAGAAATACTGACTTGAGGATATTAGTAACTTATGTAATATATTGTATTAGTACATCAAATTAACATCAAATTTCCGATTAAATGAATTTCATACGTTGGGGGCTGAATTATGCGAGGTATGTGGAAAGAGGGACGCATTCATGTTTTGCTGTCTGAATATGCCACGTCAAATGGTAGTACATATTTCCAATTATAATGAAATCAACAAGAATGGCTCTCTAATTATTCGTAGCATTATCGCGACGATCAATAATTGCTGTCATAATTTTGCATTAAATTCCATTCAAATAGGATAACGTCAAAATATTATACACGTATATGCATATTATTTGTTCTACTAATACATATACTATCATGATTTCGCTAATTATTTCGCTAAGTGTTTTATTTGATACACGCATTACATTTGAAAATTAGAGCGTGTGTTATATTCCTTATGAAAAATCGAAAAATAATTAGAAAAATAACTTCCGCATTTTATTTTTAGAAAAAGTAAATGGGAAAATGGGAAAAGGTAAATTTGAAGAAGTGACAAAAAATTGTTCCTTTTCTTATAATATAATTCTAAATAAATGTATAAAATCTCACATGTGTAATTATATATATAATATTGTACAATCTAAGATTAATTTAACTTTTTCTAAGACGAACAAACGATGCGAGAATTATATTTCCTTCTTGCTCTTATATAAGTGAACACGAATATCTGAGGAAAAAAAAGATATTTCGTATAAAATTAGAGAGAGAGGGAGAATTCACCATAAATATTAAATAAAATTGTTATATGCATGTGCGACTTGATGCATCATTACGCACGTTGTACACACTATTGCAGAATAGGCCAACGATTATATCCTGTCGAAAGGGGGCCACGCGTTATGGAGCGTTTAGAGGAGCTCCCGAACTCCGATCCAATCATCTCGTTTCCTCTCATATCGATTTCACCGTCCGCTAGAAATTTCTTCCGTGAAAAGAAACGCGCGGAACAGGCACGGGGAGAAAAGGGGTCGAACAAGCGACGTGGCAGGGAATTACGGTGGTAACTCGCGACGACGGACGACGAAGGAAAGAGAGAACAAGACCTCGGGTTTCTATAAACGATTTTGAAATTGTGTGCGTCTCGGGCACGAGACTAGAAGACGGGGACAAAGAGAAGGAAGGCGGAAGCGCCAGGACAGGAAGGGACGGCGAAAATCGAAATTGGGAGTCGGCATATATAGAACTCGCTTTGGCGAGCGAGGGGCAGAGAGAGGGATGGCTCGTATTTTTCTTCCATGAAAAATTAAGTGCGTTCAGCCATGAAGGAGCTCGTACTTGATTACTAGCGCCGCTCGAGTGTGGGAGCCCTGCCAACATTTTCGTCGTCGTCGTCGTCATCCTCGTAAACGCCGTCTCCGTTTTAAGGGTCGCTACCCTAAGCTATGCATATTCTTGTGAAGTTCTGTGGATTCGCGCGGTTCGCATGATATGTGAACTTAACTCAACTTTTCGTCGTCGTCTGTCCGAAAAATAACCCTGCCTTTCTATTTTGAAACACATACCGAGACAAGAATCATTTATCAGAACAAAAAGTATAAGTTTGAAAAATATTTAAATTATCAAAAATGTATGTATATATAATATATAAAACACATGATTCAATTTTAAAGGCACTCTTTCTCTAAGACTTAATATAAATTAAATTAAATAGTTCTGTATACTTTTTGTAATGATTACAATTAATAAGACGTGAAAGTAGTCCTTTTAGAAATAATTTTGACTTTGAAAATAGTTATTTCGAAAAGAAGATTTTTGCATTATACAATATTTAAAATCATAAAAATTATAAAAATATGTTTAACATTATCTCTTTTGTATCTTTAAAACTAGGGATGAATTTACAGATTTTTTTTATTTATCACTTATGTGTATAGTATATGTATGGTTCAATGGGAATTCTTTGTCATGA